ACAAACTTCAAATATTAAATTTGAAACAATTCCGGTAAAAAATGTCGCTCAAATCATCAAAATACAGAATATCGGGAGGTACCATTATATGGGGGCTACACGAAGACGTGGACCTACATGGCCCATTTTCAATACCAAAAGTCCTGCAGAGATCATACACATTTGAGTAAATTTTTTTTCAGCTTACTTCATTTCGTTTGGAAGCTAGAGTGATTTCACAGACGGACAGACAGACAGATGGGCGGACATTGCTAAATGGACATAGAATTTTATGCTGATCAAGAATATATATATACTTTGTGGGGTCTAGAATGTATATTTCAAAGTGTTATAAACGAAATGACACACTTAATATACCCTCCATACTATGGTGGAGGGTATAAAAAGCTAAAACCTGTTTTTAATACCCTCCACCATGGGACCGCATTCATTTTTATACCCTCCACTATAGTATGGAGGGTATACATATTAAGTTTGTCATTCTGTTTGCAACACCTCAAAATATACAGTATAGATCCCACAAAGTATATCAGCATAAAATTCTATGTCGATTTAGCGATGTCCGTTCGTCTGTGGAAATCACTCTAGCATCCGAACGAAATGAAGTAGGTTGAAACTATTTTACTCAAATGTATTTTATGTCTGCAGGACTTTTGGTATTCAAAATGGTCCACGATTTGGTATATCCCCCCAATAAATGGTACCACCCTATTTTCGGTATTTTGGTGATTTAAGCGACATTATACGCCGCAAATGTTTCAAATTTGGTATTTGAAGTTCGTAATGAATATTACAGCCTATGACAGAAAATTGTCTGTGCAGGTCCACGTCTTCGTATACCCTCCCCATATAACGGTACCTCCCGATATTCGGTATTTTGATGATTTTAGCGACATTATTCACCGGAATTGTTTTAAATTTGGTATTTGAATTTTCAGGAACATTTGTGCAGCGGTTTTCGAGTCCATTAATTACAAAAAAACATACAAATATTTCCTCTTCTGTAGATACAGATTTATTTATTTTATGATATAGTCAGCATTTGACAATATATAATGCCTGCAGAAAATAATCACATTCCTAATTCATCAACAAACGTGCTGATAGTGGATCAATGCAGTTTAAATATAATACGCTGAAATTACTTTGTGTCTCATTTAATCGATTTATCAGTAAATATTGTCAATTACTCAATTACATTCATTGGTCGCCCGCAAGTCCTGCTATTTGCGGTTACTGCAATTACACCCGGCCACCGGCTACTCGCGTAAATTATTACCCTTTCGCCTGACGACGCAATGGCGTTAAACATATTAGCTCCAATAATGGTTTGAATGCATTTTAATGTTATCGCTCATCGAAGTTAATAACTGTAAACGACAGCGGCGGATTAAAATGTGTGCATGAATATAAATGTTCCGATGGTGTGTGTGCGTGTGTCTGGCTAATTTCAAAATGGAGTTGTGTTCAAAACTGGCATCGGTTGATAAAAGTTAATCCCCTGTGTATCTAAATGTTGTACGTGAATATTTAAGTGTACGTACATGCTCACTTCATTGTGTGTAGAGAGGATATAAAATTTGATTTCATTTGAACTGATTATTGACTTATTAGCTGAATGCAGTGCACTTTTGCACATTGCGATATTTCTATCAAAATTAAGCCAAGTTCGATACTGAGTAACACGCTCCAACTCCTTCTGGTATGGGACCGACTATATGATACCCTACACCACTATGCATATTTAGTAGAGCTTCGGTAACAAAAGAATATATTTCAAGTAGATCATACCACCTATCAACATTTTGCATGGCAGTGCATGCTATCACTTGGAGAAGGATTATATTAAAAAATATATATCGGAGCCGAGCTGAACAAAATGGAAACCTACGTTTCGAAATTCACTTCATTTGGGCTGATAATAGCCATTATTTGCACAATAAACTTGAAATCGGATTAAGGATATATATAGGAGCTATATTCAAATCTTAGCCGTTCTCAATAACATTTGGCAAAGGTATTTTCGAGCTTTATAAGATATCTGGTAGCAAATATCACTGTTGTCGAATGTACATTACGAATGTGAGGGACGTAAACAGCAAATCGGATTGGAGCTATAGCTATAGGAGCTATTGGCCATTTGGCCAACACTAAATCGGTTAAAGATATATTGAGGATATTTATGAAGATATTTGAGGGACTTAAACACCAAATCGGCCGAAACATATATATGGAAGTTATAGCTATATCTGAACCGTTTTTACCAAATTTATTGCACTTGCTTCTAGATTGAATTCGGTCCGATATGATATTATGAATAATGTACCAAAAATCATCAAAATACCGAATATAGGGTGGTACCTTTATATGGGGGACGTGGACCTGCACAGACAATTTTGTGTCATAGGCTGTAGTATCCATTACGAACATCAAATACCAAATTTGAAACAATTTTGGTGAATAATGTCGCTTAAATCACCATTGAAATTCCAAAAAGTCCAAGAACTTACACCGCAACAGAGAGAAAACAGACTCAAAAGAGCTAAGGAGTTGCTTCGCTTGGCCGAATATGTTGAACTGCCGAATTTGGTTTTCTCCATTCTCCGATGAGAAAACATTCGTTGTCCAGCAGTTTGTAAACAAACAAAATTATCCGTTGGACTATTGTGTTTGGGGTATTTTGGAAAGCAAGATTGGCACTAAAAAATACCAAAGTGTCGATCACCTCAAGCAAGCGCTTGGCCGGGAATGGGCCAAATTACAGCAGAGCAACTTTCGGGCAGCGTGTGACGGATTCATTGGCCGTTTGAAGGCTATAATTCGTGCCAAAGGTGACCAGTTCGAACAAATCTAAGATTATTCTAAAACTTGATGCTATTTCCGATATTTTTTGCTTCCAATAAATAAAACTTAAAAAAAAAAAATTTTAAAATTGTGGCGTTTGACTTTGTTGCAGTTTTTTTTATATCTCACTTTGTATTGAATGTCGGTACATTATGCAATTATTTTACTAATATCCTATTCCATAAACTTCAAAATGTAATATTTAAAGAAAAACTTTGAATATGTTAAACGTTGAAAGATTGACAATTTAGAACGATGTATGAAGTTTTGATTAAAAAAAGAAATAAAACAACATTTTGTTCATTTTGAGTAATAACAAGTTAAAAAGTAATAAGTTCGGCCGGGCTAAACTTTGAATACCCTCCACCATTTGGAATGAATTTGGAAATTTTCAAAAACTAATATCCTTAAAAAATTCTAGTAAAATTTTCAAAATACCGAATATAGCCGTTATATTGGGGTCCATACGACGTGGACCTATATAGGCATTGTTTGTCATAAGCCATTATCATATTAAAATTCGAAAATTGAAATAAACATTGAATAATGTAGCTAAAATCATCGGAGCTGTGCGAAGACCTGGACCAACATAGACAATTTTCTGCCACAGGCTTTAGCATCCATTACTAACGTCAAATACGATATCTCAGACAATTTCGGTGGGTATTGTACCTAAAGTCGCCAAAATACCGAATATGGGGAGGTACTGATATATGGGGCCTATACGAAGACCTAGACCTGCTTAGACATTCTTCTGACACAGACTGTAGTTCCCATAACGAACTCTAAATACGTAATTTGAAACAATTCCGGTGAATAATGGCGCTAAAATCATAAAAATGCCGAAGTTTGGGAGGTACCGTTATATGGGGGCTATACGAAGACGTGGACCTGCCCAGATAAGTTTCTGTCATAGGCTGTAGTATCCATTTCGAACTTCAAATACCAAAGTTGAAACAATTCCGGTGAATAATGTCGCTAAAATCATCAAAATACCGAATATCGGGAGGTACCGCTATATGGGGGCTGTACGAAGACGTGGACCTGCCCAGATAATTTTCTGTCATAGGCTGTAGTATCCATTTCGAACTTCAAATACCAAAGTTGAAACAATTCCGGTGAATAATGTCGCTAAAATCATCAAAATACCGAATATCGGGAGGTACCGTTATATGGGGGCTATATGAAAACGTGGACCTACACGGCCCATTTACGAACTTAACCTGCTTACTGGAAAAATAAACACGTGTGCAAAATTTTAGCCTTCTATCTCAATTCGTTCGAAAGATAGCGTGATTACAACAGACAGACGGACATGGCTAAATCGTCTTAGAATTTTACGCTGATCAATAATATATATACTTTGTTGGGTCTGACATGAGTATTTCGAGGAGTTACAAACGGAATGACAAAGTTAATGTACCCTCCATAGTATGGTTGAGGGTATAAAAAGGCCTAAAACAACTAAAAGTGCACTTTTCGCCGACGAAGTATATGGATAGACGAACATATGCTGAGGGCAAAATCGACTGATACGTTCTTACTACTTATATTTGAAAAACAAAAGGTGTATATCGCTCCAGGTTTTTGTATATCCTACATATAACGGAAGATCCCGATACGAAGTATTTTAACGACTAAGTCAGATTTTCTAAACATTTCTATTTTTAAAGCGTTTCTTTTCTTATTATGTCTTTTGTATTTTAAATCTTTAGTTCACAATTTTTATCGGAAAAGTTTACTTACAGTTGTTATTTTTTGGGTCGAATTGTCAAAATGTAATGTCGTGTTCTGAAAATATATTTAACATTTTTTAAAGTTAGTTTTTGATTGATAGTACATGAAAAGTTATTTACAATTAGAGAGCGTCGTGAAAGTTATCTAAAAAAATTGTTAGTTATATATTTTTTTTTAATTACCAGTGATTACTTTTTAATTAAATGACAAAATTCTGATTCCGATTAATTGCTTCATCACAAATGATGAAATTAAAGTTTTTAATTTTTTACATTATTATGTGGCTTGTTATGAATCCACATTAATTACCATAGATAATAACAGCTATGCATTTTTTGTATTTCCCCAACTAATAAAATCACATATTTTATAACAATTATTTATTAAAATTTCATATCATGTTTTTTTTTTCTTTACAGTACACAAGTTGGGAGGGTAATCCAGGCTACCAGAATCAACAACAAATTGGCCGAGCTGTGGGAGATCACTTTTTCACCTGTCCCACAAATGAATACGCCCAAGCATTGGCCGAACGAGGTGCTTCAGTGCATTATTATTATTTCACACATGTAAGTAGAAATTTGTGCCTACAATTATTATTTGCTATACACATAAAATTTAAAAACAAAAAAAAAAAAAAAAAAAACAGTAAAGAAAGTCTTAAAGTCGTTCGGGGCCGACTTTATGATACCCTACACCACTTTGCTAATTTAGTAGAGCTGCACATAACAATTAAAAGTTTTTATGGGAGAATTCAATCATACACGCTATTATTATAATTATAATTTAAAGTTCAAAGGACTAAATATGCCGAAGCATTTGTATCTTTTAAATTCGGACTTGTATTGTCCATTTGGTGCACAATTAATTTGAAATCGGATAAAAATATATATGGGAGCTATATCCAAATCGGAACCGATCTCGATAAAATTTGGCAAAGATATTTCTGAGCTGTATTTGATATATTTCCCTGAATATCTTTGTTACGGAGTGCATATTACGGCTGTGGGTAACAAATATGACAAATCGGATGAACAGTATATATGGGAGCTATAGCTATATCTGAACCGATCTTCACCAAATTTGACATACTAGTTTCTAGACTCATTTCGGTCGTAAGTGCCAACTTTCATCCAATTTGGACAAATATTAGGTAAATCGGACGAAGTTATATATGGGAGCAATATCCAAAACTGAACCGATCTCGATCAAATTTAGCAAATGTATTTCTGAGCTCTATTTGATATATTTCCCCAAATATTGTTGTTACAGAGTGCATATTACGGCTGCGGAGGACAAAAATAACAAATCGGATGAACAATATATATGGGAGCTATAGCTATATCTGAACCGATTTCGATCAAATTTGGCATACTTATTTTCAGGTCCAATCTGATCGTACGTGCAAAATTCCGTACTATTCGGACTGATATTACACGTTTGGTGCACAGTAAAGGGCAAATCGGACGAAGATATATATGGGAGCTATATCAAAATTTTGACCGATTATCTCCAAATTCAATAGGGTTCGTCCTTGGGCCAAACAAATGATTTGTGCAAAATTTCATCTGGATAGGGCAATAAATGCGAACTGTACTTTGTTTACAAAAATACATGGACAGACGGACGGACGGACATGCAAAATCGACTCAGAATGTGATTCTATGCAGATCATCAAAAGGAACTATGGGTCTATCTGGTTTCCTTTTGCCTGTTACAAACAAATGCAGAGAGACATAATACCCTGACCACCTTGTGGTGTAGGGTATAAAAACAGTAGGGAAAAGTGATAAGTCGGGCGGGGCCGACTTTATGATATCCTACACCACTATGCATATTTAGTCGATCTCCCGTAACAAAATAATTTATTTATAGAGTGCATGAGAAGGATTATATTAAAAAATATATATCGGTGCCGAGTTCCATAAATGGAAACGTACGTCCCGAAATTCACTCCATTTGGACTGATATTAGCCATTATTTGCACATTAAACCTGAATTAATGATATTTAGGAGCTATACAAATTCTTATTTATTATTGATTTCTCCAAATTTGATGTTCATGTTTCTAGATTGAATTCGGTCGAATGTACCGAAATTCAGGACTTTTGGACAGATATTGGCCATTTGGTGCACAAATAATCCGAAATCGGTTGAAGAAATTTTTGATAAAAATATGCAGATCTTCAAAATAACTATGGGTCTATCTCGTTTCCTTCTCTCCGTTACAAACAAATGCACAAAGACATAATACCCTGACCACCATGTGGTGTATTGTACAAAAACAGATGTAATTGAGGTAAAATCTAACAAACAGCAAAATTCATAGATCAAAAAAAAAATTGTGAACCTTATTTTATTTATCCACAGGAATAAACTACGTAGTTTATTTTCTTGTGCTCTTTCTTCTTCTACGTCCTGCTTTTTTAGATGGGACATAAAATAAAAACCATATTACTTCAAATTGTTAATATCGCTTATGAAAGCAAAAATTCCACCAAAAGGCAATTGTCGAAACTAGCATGAAGTAAAGGACTTTCTGCTTTACTCAAATAGCGCACAATATTCCCCAAAGCTGTAAATTCATGTCGTATAATAAATGAAGAAGTATGCAGTTTTCTAAATTACCATCATTAACAATTCTTTTCTTCGAAAGTGTCCTTCCACTTTTCGACTGCAAAACGATGTGAAAATGACTAATGAAGGTTCTTAAATTATGCTAACGTCAAGGAAGCTGGTAAATGTTCGAATATTAAAAGAAGTTTAATAATTTTGAAAACCTTAAAGAAAAAGGCAAAGTTATGGCAATTTTCAAAAAAAATGTGTAAAGAAATTCAAAAGACAGATTTTAAAATCAAATTTCAAAGTGAACATTTCTAACATTCAATTGAAATTTAAATAAAGCAAGTAAAATGGTATCTGTTGACTCTTTGTGGGAGTGGTTCCAAAGGAGTGGGGCAACATTATCCATTTCGTATCTGGCCTATGTATATAAATAAATATTACAACCTTCCAGATTCAGACTGTATCGTTCTTATATCCCTGGCTTTAAGCATTACTAGTAATGACAACGATATATTACTACATTACCATTAGGCAAAAAAAATAAATACGCATTCCTAGTTAATCCAAAAAAAAAACTTTATCTGATCATATCAGCGATACAGAGTGAAAAGTACGAAAAGTAGTAAAGTTTATTAAACTTGGTATTTGTGAAAAAGGTTAGAGCGGGAATTTGAAATGAGGGCCTTCGACATTCATTCGGCAAATATTGAAAAACGAGCTCGGGGTAAAGCCATTGAAATTCCAAAGAGCGCAAAACTTACACCGCAACAGAAACAAAATTGACTCAAAAGAGCTAAAGGGTTGTTTCGCTTGCCCGAAAGTGGTGAACTGCCGAATTTGGTTTTCTCCGATGAGAAAACAAAGAGGTCAGTTTAAAATATGCACTTTCGGTTGGCCACCAGAACTCAAGCGCCGGCCATGGTGATGGTGTGAGCCGCTATTTCCGACATTTTTTGCTTTCATTCAATAAAATTAAAAAAAAAAAAACAAATAAAAAAGTATCGGTCGGTTTTGCCGACAGATGTATACCCTCAGCCCTCTTCACCCTCTATGGAGTGGATTTTGAAAGAATCGGTCAATATTGTCCATTTCGTATCCCACCTAAATAAATATGATATAAATATTATTATATATAGAAATAATTATACATAAAAAATAAATTATAGCAGATGGATATAGCAATTGTAAAGAATCGCTGAGTGGCTTCGCAACTTATGATAGATACAAATATTGAAAATTGTGTCCCTTTGTGGGTGAGGTACCAGAAGGTGTTCGCAGATATATAGCTTTTTCACAACAGATCTGGTGTTAGCACAAATTTTGGAATGTGTGAAATTTGATGAGATTTGGATCCTTATTTCGCTTTCTTTGAGTGCTATGTTTTTCAAAATTAGATTATTGCTTCCCTTTCTGTGCAGAAAATATATATTTTTAAAATTTCGACCATTTGTGGGGGAGGTACCAGAAGAAGTGGACCGATATACTCCATATTAACACCAGACCTTGGCTAATAAAATGATTGGGATGTGCGACATTTGAAGACAATCGGATTATTTAAAATGTTGACCATTTGTGGGGGAGGTACTTGATGGAGTGGACCGATATTGTCCATTTTCACACCTGACCTAGCACTGATGCAAATATTAGGATTTGCAAAATTTGGAGCAAAACTGGATTATCCCTTCCCTTTCTGTGCAAAAAATATATTTTTTGCAAATCTCGACCTTTTGTTGGGGGAGGTAACTGAAGGAGTGGACCGATATTGCTCATCTTAACACCAAACCTTGGGTAATATAAATATTGGGATGTGTAAAATTTGAAGACAATCGGACGCTTACATCACATTTTATGAGAGTTGTAATTATTCAAAATGTTGACCATTTGTGGGGGAGGTACTTGATGCAGTGGACCGATATTGTCCATTTTCACACCAGACCTAGCACTGACGCAAATATTAGGATTTGCAAAATTTGGAGCAAAATCGGATTATCCCTTCTCTTTCTGTGCAAAAAATATTTTTTTGCAAATTTCGACCTTTTGTGGGGGAGGTACCAGAAGGAGTGGACCGATATTGCCCATCTCCGAAGTCGATCTAAGTTTGACAAAAATATTACGATGTACCAAGTTTGGACCAAATCGGATACTCCCTTCGCGAGTTATCGTGCGCACCAGCCAGACAGACAGACGGACGGACATCGCTAGATTGACTCCAAATGTTCTGAAACGGATTTGGTCCAAAGAGACCTAGGGTCTAAAACCATTATTTCGACGAGGCACGTTTTGACCGTATCAAATGATATATACCCTCTGTAGCCATATGGCTGGGGATATAATTAAATTATGGTGTTTGACTTTGTTGTAGTTGGGAAATTCTCACCAAAATGTTTTTTTACGCTTGTAAACAATATACTGAGCTGTCATTGGAATAATTTTAACAGCTGTCGGAGGAGTGGCTTTCAAATGACCGCAGTCTGCAGTTGGTTGTAGTTTTTTCATCTCACCCTGAATCTGTCGGAACACCGACTGAAGCTTTCCAACTTGTTTCATTCGTAGTATTAGTATTTTTAAAGAATGAATTTTTATGTAAAAATTATGTTTTTCTGTTCTACATTTTATTGTATCTGACTTAAAACGTTTAAGAAAGTTGGTAAAAAAAAGATGTAAGGACAATTTAGAAAACAATTTATAAAACTTCATCATATGGAAACTTAAGTCAACAAGCCCATTGCTTGCATTCTATGAATTCCCTCAATATCTGTTTGTATTCCAGAAAAGAAGACAAAAACTCAGAAAAAGCTGGATTAAACTCTTCACCATTCAATCTCCTCTTTTCAGAGTAGAAGAATAAATAAACCACCATTGAAAAGGATAACGAAAGGACTTTAGTCTCCTCTTTTTTAACCCATATTGACTTTATTCTCTTAGAATTTGCTTGAATGTCTGTTTTCTGTGCGAGGGAAACACAAAATGTTTATTGTGTCAGTGAAGCATAGAAAGGGGTTTG